TAACACTGTGTTGAGTTGCGCTATTGAGTTGTTGCCGCGCTCTGAGTTAAAGAGTTATAACTCATCAGTTAATGAGTTATGATTCATTTGTTAAAGCTTTACGAGACCCGAGACTGGAGTTTTCACATCTCTAAAAGGGTTGTTGACATTTTTCTGCGAAACGTTTTACTACTTTGTTCAAACAACTAAAAAAAAGTAATTTAGATCAAGAGAACGTCGACGAGTTTTATTGTAAAATCGATCTCTTCATTTTTTTGCATAAAAGATTCGGTTTGCCAGTATTTTACAGCAAAACTGTTTTTCTGTTTAGAGACAGTGTTGTTCAGAAATATTGACCTAAAAGTGAAGAAACCCCAGTTTCCAAGAGTTTTCCCAATAAATGCTTATAAACTTTCGCATATTCAGTTCAGGGGAATATTTTTGGAAAGACCTAGAAATAATTATTAAAGTTTTGTCCCTAATTCGAAGCTGCAAAAGTTATTTAAAAATGTTTGCAAAGCGGTTAAGGAGGCGAGTGTTCCAATAAAATTTATTTTATAATGTTTCACAGAAAATTCCTGAAGATTGCCAGTATTTTAGGTAAAACTAAAAAAATAATGCGATTTTTGCGTAGAAAGAATTGCTTAATAGGAACTTTGTTAAAACTGGAATGCCCTGAAAATTTAAAGGAACTAGAAATTTTCAACGCGATGAGGGCGGCGAATTTTCCCAATAATTTTTTGTAAACTTTTGCGCTCTGGTCGTTTTTTTATAATATTTTTAATTCCCAATCAAATTCATTCCTGGGTTTCAGTCATTTATTGTCTCTATTTATCAATCAAAATACGTTTCGGTGTATTTTTCCACCATCATCAGTTTTTGTAGCGTTGTTGCTGCTTTAACGTAACGTATTTTGATTGATAAATAGAGACAATAAATGAGTGAAACCAAGGAATGATTTGATTTGGAATTTAAACACAGTCAGGAAAGTATATACAATATTTTTAATTCAGTCAAAACTAAAAACTACGACTGGCTGACGAGATTTCCAAATAATCTGTTGTAAACTTTCGATTATTCTGTTCGTTTTTTGATAGAAAATCATTTGATTTTTGATCCAAATTCGACGCTGGAAAAAGATTTCAAAACGTTTTACAAAGCGACGAAGGCTTCGAAATTTATTTCATAACTTTTCGCGGAAACTACCTTAAGATTTTTAAAAAGCATTAAAGCATTTTTAAGTGAAACTTAAGGAAATTGAGCATTTAGAAGAAAGAGTAACTGGGCTAAAACTGGAAAATTCTGAAATTTGACGGCAATTTAAAAATATTATTAATAAATTGCCTTTAAAACAAATATAAAAAAAGTTTTAAAAATCCATTAACATTTTACCAGCAACGGAACTGCACCAAGCCATTTGCGCCAACTCCTAAAAATTCACTGAGTTACCCAGGTCTAGGTTAGGTCATCGGGCGATAACCGTAAACGTCAGAAACTTTTGAAATCGCGATTTTTTGCCGAAAACTCCACTTAGAGTCGTGAAAATACTAACAAACTGTAGAGTGAAAATTCCCGTTGCAGAAAATCACCAACTTTTCCCGGAAAATCGGTAACATCCGACAAATTTTCAAATTTTGGCGGAGCGATGACACGCACTGTCTCCTTTGCCGCGGTAAACAAGTGTCAGTTTAGATGACATTCTAAGGTTAAAATCACCTCACAAAATAGAAAACGCCCTTTTACAGACAATTTGAGGATGTTTTCTGGGGAAAACGCCTGCTAAAGTATACAAGGCGATACGATAGCAAGGACCAATTAATCTATCACTGACTATTAGACATGTTTCCTGTACCTATGCAGGCAACGTGATAGACACATATAGGAAAGGAGTTTCCAACAGTTTCTTAAACACAACGGGCCCTACTGGGGCTCAACAGTAACAAATTGGCCAACATATACATGAATACAGCCAACCAGGGGCCTTTAAGTACTCAACTGATTCAGTTGACTAAAATATAACAGTGGGACGCAGACGATGCACTCCAATCCAACAAGCTCAATAAATAAACTATACATCTACACATAGTAAGTAATATTCCTGAGCATGCTCTCGCTCTAAAACCCCTCTTAATACTTTCGCAACATATCACAAAATGTAAACCTCTGGCAACATTACCAAACTCTGGCCTCCGCCCAACAGTGTTTGTCATGAATTCCTCCAATTGACTGGTTAAACCATCCGTCCAGATTACATACTGCTGGTCTTCGGAAACATCTTCATCACGGAACTGGTCAAAGCGGAAGGATCAGCCTGCGATATACCTGCAAAATGGGGTTTTCACTTGCTTGCATCGGTCACAGGGGCGGCAGATACTCACTGTGTCTTTTGTGGTACTCCTGAAAACAGGGGACGATGCACAGATTCGTCTGGCACTCTGGACAGTGGTACTTGGTTTTGCGCCGCAAAATCCTGCCATGATCGTCCACAGTGTTCCAGCAATAGTTGCAACCGAGCGCTGGACCTGGACGGGACACTGGACAGTGGCTCGATCGAACATCTCCAGTCTGGAAACAAGTCAGGCGCATTGATATCCTGATAATTCCCCCGGGCAACAATCGACCAAACCATCGGTTTGGCTGCACCAGGAAAATGTGGGATTTCGCCCTGTCCAAAGCACCCACAAACCTGCCAAAACTGCCCACCCAACCACCAACCCAACTGGACAAGTTGTTGAAACCCGTGAGGAGTTTGGCTGTGCCTTCGGATAGTGAGAGCGACTGCAGTGGCGGTAAACACAGAGTTTGATTGAGAAGTTTCACTCAAATTGGATTTAGTTTGGAAACACCCCTATTTAGTTTCTTTTCAGAAGTAGTTGATGCCTTCGAGGAGTTTCACCGGGAAAGTTTCCTCAGACCCCTACCAGGGACGAAAAGGAAATTTCTGCCTAAACTAGAAGCCGATTGGAAGACCGTGGGCCGATTCAGTGAGGATTTCAAGCAAACCATGGCCTCAATTCGTCGGTGTTTAAAGGCAAGTGGTTACATTTTGAAAAACCCAATTTACCCGGTTTAAAACTAATGGGTTTTTCGGCCGTCGTACGGTAGAATTTATTCCTGACGTTTCGCAAGCACGARTGGCTWGCATCTTCAGAAGTGGTTTGCTTGAAGGCCSKKACACATSTATCCGATSCGAYTCCGATCAGAGAACCKTCCGTCGAKGACCAWMKMATCGGATCGGTGAGTGATCGGAAAGGGGAAGCCACACATGTCATACACGTTTCAGTTTCCGTTCCGATTTTTGGACGAGTGCAAATCACAGATTTTCAAACTATTCCTAAGACTAAGTCCAAATGTATTAATTGGCTTTACCGTTTTTCATATCGACACTCGGATGGTTTACTTTGAATATCGAAA